AAACCCTAAGCCCTTCAGCCCTGCTCTCTGAAGCCCTCAACCCATTTTAACTCCAAACCCCAAGCCCTGTGTATCCTAAACCTTAAAAACAAACCAAATCTCTCATTCCGCCTCTTCTAGGTCAGAACCTCAAAACTCCAAGCCTCTAAAGCCCCAAACCCCACGCCCCAAACCCTACCACAATGCCGAAGCCTAAGAGCTGTTGCTTTCCTCGACCTGTTCTCTCGTAGGGGTGTAGGGTTTTTGGGTCAGGGGCGGGGTTTAGGGTTTAGGGTAGTTGTAAGTACGGTCATAAGTACGGTATCCTGTATTATAATTGTAGTTAAGTTAAGGTACTTCTAGTCGTACTTCTAACTGCTCATGACTCCTCAAGTGTGCCAAAGAACAAACCTCGAGATTTTGGGGTTTAGGGGCTCAGCGTGCCTTAACCCTCTAAACCCTAAACCCTAAACCCTAAACCCCAAACCCCTAAACCCCACACTCGGATCCGCTCGCAGGCCTAGCTTCCGGCCCATGCCCACCTCCCCCTGCCCGGAGTTCGCGCAGTTCGACAGCGGAGGCGCGTCCGAAGCCCCGGCCATGCCTGTAATATGGGGTTTCGGGTTTAGGGTTTAGGGTTTAGGGTTTAGGGCTTAGGGTTCAGGCATTGTTACTAACAATATTCCCTTAGGGTCCCTTGCTATTTGTACTATGACAACCCCCAACACCCTGTTTTGATCTGTTAAGGCTCCTACAGTATGGGTTTTAAGGATATGGAGTCATGGGGCTATAAGGTTTTATAGGGTTTTAGGGTTAGTGGGTTATCGGGTTTCAGGGTTAGACTGCTTTTAGGGTTTTGCAGCACCGGGGCAGATAATGGTTTGAGGGTTTTTAGGATGTGCGGTGGTGGTCATACGGTTATGGGGATATAGGGTTTTGGGGTTGTGGGTTTTGGGGTTTTCAGGGTAATGGGGTGGGCAGCATATCCGGGGGGTTAGAGGCCAGAAAATCGATAGAATAACCACTTAGGGTAGTTATGATCCTATTTACCCCAAACCCTAAACTCTAAACCCCAAACCCCAAACCCTAAACCCCAAACCCTAAACCCCAAACCCCAAACCCTAAACCCTAAACCCTAAACCCTAAACCCTAAACCCTAAACCCTAAACCCTAAACCCTAAACCCTAAACCCTAAACCCGCTTCCGCAGTTCCCTTGAGCCTCTCTGTAGCTTCTGCCTCTGGAGAGGGGGGCTTGGACTCGCCTCGGCCTTAGGGTTTAGGGTTTAGGGTTTAGGGTTTAGGTTTTAGGGTTTTGGGTTTAGGGTTTAGGGTTTAGGTCCTTCTTTGAGTCTTCGAGGGCCGAGATCCTAAGCCACAGAAGCCTGCCAGCTGAGGGGGTCAAGGGGGTTAGGGCTTTCTGGCCCTACACCCCAAAAAAGCCCTAAACCTTGAACCCCCTAAGCCACGAAATGGCCCTATTTCAATTTCTGAGCCCGGTTTAGGGATTAGGGTTCGGGGGAGCCCCCCAACAAAACAAACCTCGACCGTGAAGCTGCGCACCTGCCAGGCGCTCCAGAGGCGGGCGAATGCGGACTGGGCGGATCGATGGGAGACCCTGACAATAAATCTGAAACCCCTAAACCCCTAACAATAAACCTTAAACCTTAAACCCCTAAACCTTAAACCCCCAAACCCTAAACCCTAAACCCTGACAATAAACCTTAAACCCTAAACCCAAGATCTACACCAGCAAGTCCGAGCAGCCGTTCACGACCTTTCGTCTAATATGGGTGTCGGAATAACTACTCACAGTCGACTATTTGCTGAAGACAAATCCCTAAACCTTAAACTCAAACCCCCTAACCCCCTAAACCCCTGAACCCCAAACCCTCTGGCAGCCCCTGGCAGCCCCTGGCAGCCCCTGGCAGCCCCTGGCAGCCCCTGGCAGCCTAAACCCTAAACCCTAAACCCTAAACCCTGAACCCTGAACCCTGAACCCTGAACCCTGAACCCTGAACCCTGAACCCTGAACCCTGAACCCTGAACCCTGAACCCTGTACCCTAAACCCTAAACAGGATTCCCTAGGGTTCAGGGTTCAGGGTTTAGGTTGTAGGGTCTAATCAGGACCCCAATAAGGTACCCCTACTTTCGGAAACCCCCATCTGGGTGCCACTTTGGAAGTGCCATGTTGTCGGCTCTGGGGGCGTTGGCGCGTGGCGTTGAGATTTGTTTTTTCTTTTCTTGTGGGGATGGCCTGGGGGGGGGGCGGGGGGGAAGGGCGATAAGCCTTCTGAGGCGGAAGCGGTGTGTGGGGGGTGCGATGGTTCAGTGCCTGGGCGCATCGGATGGGAGACTTCACGCCCAATCAATCCCCACAGCCTCAAAAACCCAAGACCCTAAAGCCATAAAATCCTGAAACCTGAAAGCGCAAAACACTTAAGGCCCCCAAGACCCCCACCCCCCTCCCGTCAAAAAAAAACCAAACCCAAAAACCCCAAACCCCCAATACCCCCAAAAGCCTCGAACCCCCAAACTTTGCGCGCCCCCCAGGGCTCCGAGATGTTCCATGCACATGCAGTTCGGAAGCCCAAAAGCCCTCCATGGCACCGAAGATAGGGGAGTCGGATGCGGTGCCACAGCGAAGAAACCCGAAACTCTGAACCCTGAGCCCAATACCCTAAACCCTATAAACCCTAAACCCTAAACCTTAAACCCTAAACCCTAAACCCAGACTGGGTTTAGGCAGAATCATAAAGGGGATCTTCGTCACCCCTGCCTCCTGGGCGCCCTTGGCCCATGGTGCTCTTCCAGAAGTACCCGGGCAAGAAGGATCCGGCCTCCCTAAGCCCCAAACCCTCAGCCCTCAACCCTAAACCCTTGGCCCTCAACCCTAAACCCTAAGCCCTAAACCCTTAACCCTAAACCCTTAGCCCCTAAACCCTACATGCAGCAAAGAGGGGGCTTTTTTTTTCTTCCTAGAGCCGGTTTCGGCTTCGACTTAGGGCTTCAGGGGTGTATGGAGTGAGGGATTCCTTGGCGGCCTTCGGGGCTTGGGGGGCTCAGGGGGTGGTGCTTTCAGGGGCGTCCTTAGGGGGCTTAGGGGTTCAGGGTTTTAGAGTCGGGAGATTCTTCGAGGTCTCCTCATGACTTGCGGGTGAACCCCATGGATGCCACGGTCGTTTGTTTTTTTTGTTCGGGGTTCCGGTTTCGGGTTTAGGGTTCAGGGTTCAGGGTTTAGGGTTTAGGATTCAGGGTTTAGGGTTTAGGAGCTCTTCTTAGGCCTAAACCGTCAAAAAGCCGAGAGGAGCCACATTCTAAGACCCTCTCAAGCTTTCATGACTCAAGCTCTAGCCGCCGAAGCTCCGAACCATAAGAAGCCCTGGAACCCTGAGACATCGAAAACTTAAACCCTGCACCAGAAATTCCCAAAACCCTGCGCCCTCGACCCTGAACCCTAAACCCCAAACCCTAAACCCTAAAATCCTAAACCCTAAACCCTAAATGCCCGCAGTCAAATCTCTGGCAGGAGCCGGGCGGCAAGGAGGATGAGGAGGACCCTTTGGAGAGAAGCATTCTTGTTTAAAGGGGGCTTTCGGGTGCAGGCTGTAGGGTTTAGGGTTTTGGGGTACTGTTGTTTTTGCTAAGGGCTTATGCCTTTCACGGGGTCCGAGGGTTTAGGGATTCGGGTTTGGAGTCGGAGGTGCTTTTTTTTGTGGGTTGGAGGCTTTGGGGCTGACGGGCGTAGAGGTTTAGGGTTTGGGTTCTCAGGGTGGGAGGCTTGAGGGTTAAGGGTAGCCCTAAACCCTAAACCCTAAACCCTAAACCCTAAACCCTAAACCCTAAACCCTAAACCCTAAACCCTAAACCCTAAACCCTAAACCCTAAACCCTAAACCCTAAACCCTAAAGACTAATCCGCTGTATCGTCCCAGGAAGGGTGCTGGGGTTGGAGGAGGGGGTGCTTAGGCACCCTAAACCCTAAACCCTAAACCCCAAACCCCAAACCCTAAACCCTAACCTGGGCTTAGGCTTTCGAATTGGAAAACATCCCAAGCCTGGGAAGGACCTCCTCTTGGCCCGGGAGTCTGCCATCCTCCGGCTCCTTAAGGCGTGCCTTAAGCCCTAAGCCCTAAGCCCTAAGCCCTAAGCCCTAAGCCCTAAGCCCTAAACCCTAAACCCTAAACCCTAAGGCCTAAGCCCTAAACCCTAAACCCCTGAGCCCTCGGAGGTTGCGCAAAAAGAGCGGTTTAGGGTTTAGGGTTTAGGGTTTAGGATTTAGGGTTTAGGGTTTAGGGTTTAGGGTCTGGGAAGCCCGCAAATCTGCGCAAGGTTAGGGGGGGGGAAGCGGGGGGGGGGGGGGGGGGGGGGGGGGGGTTGTTCGAAATACTCTCAACCCTCAACCCCAAACCCCAAAACCCCAAACTCTAAACCCTACACCCTTGAAAAAAATGGCCTGCCCATCCATCCCTAAGATCTTCAGGGATTTAGGGGGGGCCCAGATGAAGGCAAGGTCTCCCCCCGAACAACCTTGAAAACCCGAAACCCTGAACCCCAAACCCCAAACACCAAACCCTAAACCCTAAACCCTAAACCCTAAACCCTAAATCCCTAAACCCTAAATCCTAAATCCCTAAACCCCAAACCCCTAAAGGCCAGCTCAACCCACTTCGCGTCCTACGCCTTCCGGTCCGCCTTCTTTGAGCGCTGCCTGGACACCAAGGTGCCGGGAGCCCGGAAGAGAGGAGGCCTGCTTGGGTTTAGGGTTTAGGGTTTAGTGTTTAGGGTTTAGGGTTTAGGGTTTAGGGCTTTGGGTTTAGGGCTTAGGCTTTGGGGTCTAGAGCTTGGGGCGTAGGGTTTAGGGGCTTAGGCTTTAGCGCAAAGGGGGCCCAGAAGGGGACCATGTTTTGCAGGGTTTAGGGTTTAGGGTTTAGGGTCTGGGTTTAGGGTTTTGGGTTTAGGGACTGGACTTCTGAAAAGTCGCGGCCTTTAGTGACCAAGCCGTGAGATTTCGTGAGCCGCAATGAGCGATGACCTCCCGGCGATCATCGTGGACATTCAGGGTTGCTCTAACCCTAAACCCTGAACCCCAAACCCTAAACCCTAAACCCTAAACCCTAAACCCTAAACCCTAAACCCTAAACCCTAAACCCTAAACCCTAAACCCTAAACCCTAAACCCTAAACCCTAAACCCTTAACCCTTAAACCCTAACCCCTAAACCCTAAACCCTAAACCTAAACCCTAAACCCTACACCCTAAACCCTAAACCCTAAACCCTAAACCCTGAACCCTAAACCCTAAACCCTAAACCCTAAACCCTAAACCCAGCCCCCTGAGGACAACGGGACCTTCCAGATCAAGGCAGGCTTCGCTGGCGACGATCTTCCCAGAGCAATCTGCCGGTGTGTCGTGGGCCACCCCAAAGAAGGAGGCGGGTCCGGGTTTAGGGTTTAGGGTTTAGGGTTCAGGGGTCTTTTCAAGACTCCCCGGGTCGTTTTGGGGGTGTCAGGGGCTGAGGGTTTCACGGTTTCGGGGCCTCTTTGGGGTTTGCGGGCTCAGGGCTGCTTTTCTGTGGTTTTTCCTGGAGACTTGGGCTGCAGAGCTCGGGCTGCGGCTTCTGGAGCTTTGGGGCTTGCAGACGTTGCCGTCTGCAGCTCAAGGAGTCGTCTTTCGGTCGTCTGACAGAGGGTTTAGGGTTTAGGGTTTAGGGGTTTAGGGTTTAGGGTATTAATTTTTTGGTGCCTCTTTCACTTGAAGGGTTCATGGGTAGTTAGAAGTAGGGTTTGAAGTACGGCAACGCTCAGCGTTACGCTCGCGTGGAGGAGGTAGAGCAAAGCCTCACACCACACAGTAGCATAGAATAGCATAAGCGTCACGTGTTATTTCAGCTTTGAACCTTTGGGCTTTAATCATGACACGGACAGCCCGAGTAACATGGATGGTTGACCGATTTTGATGTCCGATCAGGCTCCCAGAATCATGGCATAGAAGCGGCTGCCTCAATTGGAAGTGGCTCTTTCTGGCCCGCTCTCATCCGTAACAAATCATGATCCGGGCTTTCCTGGCTCTTTCTGGCCCACTCTTGTCCGAAACAAGTCGCACCCCCGGTTTTCTGGCTCATTCTGGCCTATATTAATCCGACCATTCTTTTTGAAACAATTCGAAACCCCGGGTCTTTTGGCGGCTGTTTCTGGCCCGTTCTTATCCGAACAAATCGTACCCCGGGTCTTGGTGGCTTTTCTGGCTTGCTCTTGTCGGCAGCAAGTTGTCGCCCACCGCTTCTGGCCCACTTATCTGCACCAAACCGTACCCCCCGCTTTTGGTGGCTCTTTCTGGCTTCTTGGTTTACCTTTTTCGTGACAAATCGTACCCCCGTGTCGTAGTGTTTTTTCTGGCCAATGTTTCTCCGAAATCGTGGCGCTTTCATCGCCCGCAGGTTCGAGTGGGAATAGAGCGCAAATCCTGAACCTCATACCATGAGTAGCCAGAGTTGCTCAAGCCATTCTAGCATTCTACAGGGCTTAAGGTTGAGGATGTGGTTGGGGGTTTCTGGCATGGTTTAGTGTTGCTTAAAAGGGCAGGATTTGTGTCGTGAGGCGTTTAGGGACCTCGGAGAGCTTTGGTTGAAACATGGTTGAAACATATTTTCGCAAAGCAAGCAACCCTAAATCCTGAACCCTAAGCCCCGAACCCTCAACCCTGAACCCCTAAACTCTTTCCTCCCTCGCCCTGCCTCGGCCCTTTGTCCCGAAACCCACGCTGAAGCGACGTCCAGGGGACGACTACCTTGTGGGGGAAAACGCAGAGGAAAAGTCTGCATCGATGAATCTGAAGCACCCCTTAGAGCGCGGCTTCGTCTACAATTGGGAGGAGGGGGGGTTGAGGGAAACTCCAAGCCCTAACCCCCGTGTTAGGAAAGCAAACCCAAACCTGGCCCCCCCAAAAACATCAAAAACCCTAAGCCCTAAACCCCAAACCCCAAACCCCAAACCTAAACCCCAAACCCTAAACCCTAAACCCTCCACCTCTAAGTCTGAAACCTCGAATAAAGCCATCAACCCACGAACTGTTTTCTGGGGTGCAGGGGTTTTGGAGAACAGGGTTGAGGGTTTGGGGGACCAGAACCCAACAAGAAGGCCGTCTTGGGAGAATTGGTAGGGCGCCCTCCGGGATTTGTACGATTGGGGGCGATTTTCAAGAATCCGTTTCGGGAAGAGGGTTGATGGTTGAAGTTTAGTTGAGGGAGCCTTTGAGGGCGCACAAGCTTACGGGTGCGACTTCCTGGCCCCTGGAAGGACATGATAAGCCGCTGAGCCCTAAGCCCTAGTCTCTAAACCCCGGGTTTAGGGAATAGAGTTTAGGGTTTAGGGATCCAAACCCTGGAAGGACATGATGAAAGTGTGGTCTCACGTGTTCTACAATGAGCTGCGCGTTACGGTTGAGGAGCATCCGGTCATCATGACGGAGCCACCCCTGAATCCCAAGGAGCATCGTGAGTACCTGACTTCGCTCATGTTCCTTGGGCGCCCCCCAAAGCCTCCAAAAGGACTTAGGGCTTGGGGTTAGGGGGTTAGGCTTGAAACCCTTCCTTAGCCCTTTTAAAACCTTGCGCCCTAAACCCTAAGCCCTGTACGGACCACCTCGTAGGTTCGAGAGCTGGAACGTGCCGGCTTTCTATGTGGCAACCCCGGCCGTGCTTTGCCTCTATGCCTCAGGGAGGACCACGGGCCTTGTGGTCCAAAGCGGAGACGCGCGGCGGGCAGAGGGTTTAGGGTTTAGGGTTTAGGGTTTAGGGTTGGTACAGGGCTTCCAGACCCTGAGCCTTAGACCCTGAAGCCTGTACCGCGTTAAAACAAGGTTTAGGGTTTTGAAGTTTGCGGCTTCGGGGTCTCAAGCTTTATGTAAGCCCTGAAATACTTGGGTTCAGAGTTCATGTAGGGTAGTTTAGGGTTTAGGGTTTAGGCGTTACGGTACATGCGGAAGGACATCTTCTTGGGGGTTCCGTATTCCCTATTTGAGGGCCCTTGCAGGGAGGTCATAGTTGTCGTGTTTTTTGGTACATCTGCTTGACTGGAATGGGTATCTTGTGTGGGTGAAGGTATATGTTAGTGTAGCGAGTTTGAGGGGATAGTGTTGGCAATGATGGAGGCTCCTGCGTTGCTTTCCTCGCCTGCGTTTGGAACGCCTGGTTGAAAGCTGAAAGATTTGTTGAGACTTCAGTTTCAAACCCATGAACCCCAAACCTCTGTGTCGTGCACTTGAGGACAGCATCTCGCACGTCGTGCCGGTGATTGAGGGTTGTATGCTTGCGGACGGTGTGGTGCCGTTCGAGATCGCAGGTATCTTGGAAACCCTAAACCCTTAAAGCGTGAACCCTAAACCCTAAACCCTAAACCCTAAACCCTAAACCCTAAACCCTAAACCCTAAACCCTAAACCCTAAACCCTAAACCCTAAAATTACTAGGGAATCCTACTATTTGGGGGTCCATATTCAATATTGGGGGTCCCTCATTTTCGTACATTAGGGGTACCTTATTGGGGTCCACATTATACTTTTAATAAGGGGATTCCTATTATTTGGGGTCTATATTGGGGGTCCCTTATTTTCGTAAGCCCTCTTATGACTCGTTCGAAGCCCGAGAGCTCGTTTTGAAGAGCCGCGTGCCAGCCAGAGAAGTGCGAGAAGTGCTCCAAACACCGTGTGCAGGGTTTAGGGTTTAGGTTTAGGGTTTGGTGTTTAGGGTTTAGGGTTTAGGGTGTAGGGTGTAGGTTTCTCTCCAAGCCCGTCATGCTAGCATTGGGGCTTCAGATCGCCTCTTGCAACACGTGCAGTAAAGTTCGGTGTCGGGTTTAGCGGTTTAGGGTGTAGGGTTTAAGGTTATGGAGTGTGCATTGTGTGGTGCTGGTCCGCATGTCTCGGGCGGGGACGGAGATTCCTCCCGCCGCGTACTTTTTATGGAAATAAGTTGTTGATCTTTAAGTTTTTCCTTCTATCCGCTTGGGCTCGAAATAGGGACGTTTTTGCCGATGCCTGAAAAGTTGCTTTTTGAGCCCTTGCCCATGAACTACTTCGCCCGAGGCAATGACCTGACGGACTTCATGGAGAAGCTGCTGGCTCAGCGTGGCTATGCTGAGAGTGACTATGGTTTTCAGACGCTGGCAGGCCGCAAGGTTGTGCGTGACGTGACGCAAGGATGGGTTGGAAGCGGTTTCTCTTTTGGTTGCACTTTCTCTTGGCACCTGAGGCGCTCCACTCTGAAGGGGTGTAGGGTTCAGAGTTTAGAGCTCCCTGAACCCTAAACCCTAAACCCTAAGCCCTAAGCCCTAAACCCTAAACCCCAAACCCTAAACCCTAAACCCTAAACCCTAAACCCTAAACGGTGGCTCCAGGAAAGAAAAACTTTGCCGCGTGGCCAATGATTTGGGTCGAGCCATGGAGGAGTACGACGCGAGCCCAGAACCGAGGCAACCGGGCCTTGTTATTTTGTTTACCTTGTGGCGTAGGCTGTGATATCCTACTTTGGGTTGGGGGGGGCGGGGGGGGGTTTAGGGTTTAGGGTTTAGGGTTTAGGGTTTAGGGTTTAGGGTTTAGGGTTTAGGGTTAGGGTTTAGGGTTTAGGGGCCCGCCTTTCCCTGGAATGGGTCAAAAAAGTAGTGGAAGCTTGAGAGGTAGAGCCCTAAGCACTTAGGACGTACTGCCATCCGGATCCGCGTCTGGATATGGCCCTTGGCACGGAGTGCTACCGCTGTCCAGAAGCGCTCTTCAACCCAGAGCCTTGGCTCTCGCTGAGGAGAGTTTAGGGTTTAGGGCTTAGGGTTTAGGGTTTAGGGACCTTGAAGTCAGCCATCGCAGTATGCGAAATGTAATCTACGAAAATCCTGAATTGTTTTTGTAAGCAACGTAGTACATCATGCATTGAAGCGGCGCCTACTAAATAGCAACGCGCCGGTGCTCTCTGCTCCGTTGCTCCGTTGCTCCATGGCTCCGTTGCTCCGTTGCTCCGTTGCTCCGTGGCTCCATGCTCTACACCCAGTGCGGCGCAACCGCGCAACGGTGCAAGGCTGTGTCTTTCGGACATTCATCCCGCCCGATGAATGCATTGAGTATCCTTAGTATGGTACCTTCGTTTCGCTCCTCAACACGAAACCAGGTTCTCATCAGCAAGGAGGGCCCCAGCATGCATCTGGCCATCCTACATGCGATTGAGCGAGTGGACCCGGGCTTCAAGAAGGACTGCCCTTGGAGTGTGTGGGTTGAGGGTTTAGGTTGGGTTCGGGCGCCCAAGCATCAGCTCCTAAACAATGGCAGTCCGGCTGTTCTTGTGTGTGTTGGTCTCGTGTTTAGGTTTGAGGGTCCCTTAGCCGTAAGCCGTGAGCGTTGAGATTTAGCCTTGGGGGAACCGGGCGGTTAAGCCCGCCTGAAACCCTGAACCCTAAAACCCTTCACCCCTGTGCTCGTGAAGGACCTCTGGTCGAATGTGATTCTCTCTGGCGGCAACACGATGTTCCCGGGCCTTCCCGATCGCCTGCTCAAAGAGCTTGGCGAGCTGGTGCCCGAGATGAAGGACCCTAACGCCAGGGTGAGGGTTTAGGGTTTAGGGTTTAGGGTTTAGGGTTTAGGGTTTAGGGTTTAGGCCGATCAAAACTAACCCCAAATAGCTGCATTTGTAGGCATTCTTGAAAGATCCCTCGAAGGTGAGGAGGTTCAGGTATAGGGGCTTGAGGTCGAGGTTTAGGTCTTCAGGTCTTATTTCTAGAGTTTACGAAAATAGGGGATGCCTCTTTTCCACCCCCAAATAGTCGGATTCCCTTATACGAAGGACCCAATAAGGTACCCCTAATTCCGGAAGCCCCCACAAATAGATAATCCCTTCCACCCAGCCCTTCCACCCAAGGGCCCGGGCCACACAGGGGTCTTTTCGCTGAAGAGCGGTCTCCCGAAACATCGGAACCCGCACGCAGGAACGGATACCCTGAACCCCAAACCCTAAACCCCAAATGGGTAGCGGGCGCAGTCGAGCCAGGGCTGGGTTGCAGAGCCTGCGTGGCACACCTGCGCTGGGGTCGCCTCTTGCTGGTTTTCCTGAAACCTCTCCCGATTGCGGCCTTTTTCTTACTTAAAAACCCTAAACCCTAAACCCTAAACCCTAAACCCTAAACTCTAAACCCTAAACCCTAAACCCTAAACCCTAAACCCTAAACCCTAAACCCTAAACCCTAAACCCTAAACCCTGGGGCTGGAGGCGCCTGGAAGGCCTTGATGGGCCACGCCTGGAGCTTTGGGTGCCCCTCCAAGTTGAGAATACCCCAACGGGCGCCTGTCCCTGCAACCTTTGCCTTCTTGGTGAGCTCCCCGGCTCAAGGGTGTGTTCGTCTGCAGTTCGGACCTGAAGCTCTGCTGCGGAAGCCCTTCGGCCTAGAACGGCTGCTCTCGGGAACATTTGCCTTCGGCATGCTCCCTTGTGTTTCAAGCGTCCCATGAAACACCCTGGAAATGTTCGATGTGGAGGGCCCTTCAGCCAAGACTGCCCCACCACGAAAACCCTGCCCGTGCAACCTTTGCAAATGTCCCGACCGCTTTAAGCCTGGCAGTCGATCTGATGATGTGGCTTGGCTGGTTCTTGCTCGGGCTGGATCCGGTTTGGCTCGCGGTGATGGTTGGCCTTTGGGCGGGCATGTCTTCACACTAAAGCGTTCAGCTGACCAGTGCTACACTGCTACACCCCCTAAACCCTAAACCCTAAACCCTAAACCCTAAACCCTAAACCCTAAACCCTAAACCCTAAACCCTAAACCCTAAACCCTAAACCCTACACCCTGAATCCCAAACCCCCAAACCCCAAACCCTAATCCCTAAACCCGAAACCCCCAAACCCCACTCCCCAAACGCCTAAACCCCAAAACGGGGCCAGGACCACATCAAAGTTGTGGCCTCGCCCGAGCGGCGGTATCTGCCCTGGGTGGGCGCTTCCGTCCTCACCTCCCTGGGCAGCCGCTCGGCAAAGTTGGGGGGGGGTTCCTCTAGTTCCCTTTGCCAAAGGGAGTGGGGGGGGTTTAGGGTTTAGGGTTTAGGGTTTAGGGCGTAGGGTTTAGGGTGCAGGGTTTAGGGTTTAGGGTGTAGGGTGTAGGGTTTAGGGTGTAGGGTTTAGGGCGCCTCATCCCAGAAGCCATTGAGGGATTCAAGCACTCACATCCCCCCTGTAGTCCTATGGCTGGGTTTGACTTGGGAAGACAATGTCGAAGTTGTGTGGGCCCCAGTCCCTACACAGCCCATGGAAACTAAATTGTCTAGGGCTTAGGTTTTAGGGTTTAGGGTTTAGGGTTTAGGGTTTAGGGCAACACAGGCCCTGACAGCCCTTCTGTACGAAGGGTGTTCCGTGGCAAGGCTTGCATCCTAAATCCTAAACCCCAAGAACCCTAGACCCCAAGAACCCTAAACCGGCAAGCTTCCAAGTACGTGCGACTGAGGTTTCGAAGACATGTGGGTCACGAGAGCCGACTACGACGCCGAAGGGCCCACAGCGGTTCGGAAATGCCGTTGAGGCCTCCTTTAACCCTACTTGTAACTACCCATGAACCTTCGAGTATCAAGTATCCCTAAACCCTAAACCCTAAGCCTTAAACTCTAAACCCAGTCTAAACCCTAAGCCCTAAACCCTAAACCCTAGCCCTAAACCCTAAACCCTAAACCCTAAACCCTACACCCTAAACCCTGGCCCGAACTGGGCCCTCCTTCGCCAGCGTTGTCGGTCGCATCATCGGTTTACAAATGCCCCGAAAGCTCGAGCCTTTTCCCAAACTCCCTGAAACACGAGAGGCTGCGGACTTTTAAATCGTTCTCAGCCGCCGTGTTCTGGGATCTTCAGGTTTGGCTTGCGCGTGCGGAAAAGAGCACAGCTAGGGTTTAAGTCAAGGGACTAAGACTCGTGCCCTTGAGGTTGCCACGCGTTAAAGGTTCCCCTGAGTACGCTGCTACTATGGCTAAGGGGCCAAGGTACAACCCCTACACCCCTAAACTCTAGACCAGAACTCCCTAAACCCTAAACCCAAAACCCGAAATCCTAAACCCTAAGCCTGAAACCCTAAACCCTAAACCTAACCCCTAACCCCAAACTCTAGCCTCCCCTAACCCCTCTAAACCCCCCCTACACCCCCCTTAAACCCCCTTTCCCCCCCCCCTTTCCCCCCCCCCCCCCCCCCCCCCCCCCCCCCCCCCCCCCCCCCCCCCCCTCCCCCCCCCCCCCCCTCCCCCCCCCCCCTCCCCCCCCCCCCCCCCCCCTTTCCCTAAAAGCCCCCCCCAACCGCGATTGAAGGTTTCAGGGCCCGCCCGTTTCCCGCAGGAGCTTCGAGCGAAGCCCTACACCACTTCCTCGAAGCACGTTGCGGGTTCAACGCTACAAAGCGCCCTAAGCCCTAAGCCCTAATCCGTGAACCCTAAACCCCACAATGTTGGTCTCTCAAAGATTTCGAAAACCCTCAAACCCTAACCCCCCCCCCCCCCCCAAAAAAAAATATTCTTTTCAACTGGGGCCCCCTGTCACGCGGGTTGCCTTCGGCCTGGAGCCACGCTTGACCCAACAATTCGAAATCCTACGACCCTAAAACCCTAAAACCCTAAACCCTACACCCTAAAACCCCCAAAGCCCGAGCCTAAAACCCTAGAAGGGTCGCCCAGTTCAGGGTTTTGAGGGTCCGAACTTCGGGAATTGCCCAGAACTTTCGTCCACTGGCTTTGAAGCAAAGCCTTAAACCCCTAAACCCTAAACCCTAAACCCTAAACCCTAAACCCTAAACCCTAAACCCTAAACCCTAAACCCTAAACCCTAAACCCTAAACCCTAAACCCTAAACCCTAAACCCTGCACCCTAAGCCCTAAACCCTACGCCCTGAACCCTAAACCCTAAACCCTAAACCCTAAACCCTAAACCCTAAACCCTAAACCCTAAACCCTAAACCCTAAACACGAAACCCCAAACCCTAAACCCCAAACCTCTCCACTCCGAGGCTCCAAGCGCTGATGCGGCAGAAGCTGCCTGCGCCAGGGTGGACGCGGCGGGTGACAGGATCCGCCCCCGAAACAGTAGGGTTTAGGGTTTAGGGTTTAGGGTTTAGGGTTGTAGTTAAAGTTTCGGGTTAGGGTTGTAGTTAGGGTTTTTGGAGTTGGGCTTATTGAGGCCGTTACAGCTTCAGGGCTTTTTTGGGTCGCACTAGGATCCGCCTATTCGCGACATGTGGCTGCAGATGCTGCAGCCATACTCCGCAAGGACCCTAAACCCTGAACCCCCCCCAGGGTTAAGGGTTTAGGGTTTAGGGTTTAGGGTTTAGGGTTTAGGTGCCTGAACACTATGTGAAGCCCCGAGCCCCGGAGACCAAGAAGGCCCCTGAAGCCTCAATTCCCCTAAACTCTGCATCGGGCTGCGGGCTTAGGGGTCTCGGGTTGGCTTCTACCGGCAGTCCTTCATAGGGATTCTAGTAGGGGTTCCTTAATAGGGATTCTAGTACCTCTACTAGAATCCCTAGTAAGGACTGTTTGCTTCAGGGGGAACATCCCAAATGTAGGGGAAACCTAGCCCCCGGATTCAGGCTCAGCCGCCTGAGGGCTTGGGGCCAGGACCCAGAGTAGGACCCTTGTTTCCCTTTTTTGGGCTTAGGTTCCCTTAAACAGAGTAGACCCTTATTTCCTTTTTTGGGCTTAGGTTCCCTTAAACAGAGTAGACCCTTATTTCAGTTTTTGGGCTTTAGGTTCCCTCAAACGACCCCCCTAACCCAAAAAGGGCACCCTTTCTATTCCTAGGTCACTCCTGGGTCTCGGGGGGGCATGGTTCTTGGGGCGGCCAGGACAGGGGAACGTATGAGCTTTGTGCTTCTCAGCCCGGGCTAGGAAGGCCCTCCCTGGACCTCACGGTTTAGGGTTTAGGGTTTAGGGTTTAGGGTTTAGGGTTTGGGTCCTAAGCCCCCCGAAGCCCTGCAACACAGCGCTCGTTTCCTTTGCTTCTCGGTCGCCCCTTGGTATCCTTCTTTCTAGCCCCTGTAAAAGCCATG